TGCCCGGTCGGTGTTAAGTTATCGAGCGCGGCTTCCTGCGCACGGAGGTCGACGAGAAGCGCGGGGTGGAGTTGGAAGCATGGAGTCGGCATGAGCGTGGGTGACGAGCAGGCCTGCACAGGGCCGTATACCGCTTGTGATGATATTGGGGAATCAAGGAAGGCGCGTTCGCGAGGAGCGTGCGTCAGCGGGAGGGATAAGACATGCTGGAATAGTCCATTTTTGTGAGGACGTTGCAGGCGTGCGGGTCCGGGAGCGTTGAGACCGTGATGTTGTGGATGGAAAACAGGAAGGTGACGCGCGGCTTTTAATTCGTCGCGAGGAGGTGCGCGTCTCGGGATGTGTGCGGAAAGGGGTCGGGTCGCAGGGAATCACTCTTGAAAGAAACAGGCCAACGGAAAGAAAGGGAGGCCAAAGTCTCAAGGGCAGTAGCAATGTTGAAAGCAGATCGTGCGTATCGAATTGGCGATGTCACGGTCTGATCTATGATCTGCTATTTTGCGGCATCTCCGAGTAAGACGTTGCAAATCACGATATTTGGACGATAGAGTTGGGAAGCGATGATAGGCATTAATGGTGTAGTTATGGGTACGATCCAACACAGCGAGGGATGCGCCGTCTCCATGCCAGTCGGCTACCAGAACCCTTCGTGGCGCATGCATATAAACGAAGTAACGTGTCAACGCGAGATGATTGATGCGGTGCTGAAGTGGGTCGAAATACCTTGGGGTAGACTCGGAATTGGGCATGATGGTCGTGCGAGATGGATTTCGCTCGCCAGGTGCTGCCGGCGTCGTCATGTGTTCGACATTGAGCACGAATTCGTGTCCGCGTCTGCAACAGTAATAGCGCCAGCTTAGGAGGTAAGTTACCCCCTTCTGCTTTAAACGCATGACGTACCTTGAATCTTAGACTTCAAGCTTCAAGCTTCAAGTCGTGTCAGTTATTGCTGGCGTGCCCAAGACGAGCTACCCAAGGATGTGACACGAACTTGGCAGCCGAGACTGTAACGCTGATAGATCATAGATTGGAGTGAGCGCTTGAACACGTGCAGTGAAAAGCTTAATTGCGGTCGCTTTGTTGTAACACAAACCGATGCGCCCGCATACATGCTGAGCGCTGAGCGCTGAGTCGGAGTACTACTGAGTACTTGCTAGATCATGCATCATGAGCTGACTCGCACCACCACTAGTGCTGTCCTCACAGTATTCGTACGAGATAACGGCGTCCTCAACCCAAGTTGTTTTTTCGTCGGGTCGATATTATGCACAGCGCACGAGAGCGTGGGGATTACAACGCGAAGTGTTCTCGCTGCTGCCCAGGTTGTCTACGGGTACGGGCGTGTGACCTTGGCCTCTAAAAGTATGACGAGCACCACCTCGGAGGTGATGCTCGTCAAACTCGTGGATATCGTTCGTGCCAATCAATCGCAATACGGTCTTCCTTGTGTGCTTTCGAACACCGCGACGACTTTTCCTATCAATCAGGGGCTGTGAAAGTAGAGACTTTCGCGAGATTGGCTGGCTACGACCGACTTGGCTCTCTCTCTTCGGCGATCCAACTTGAAGATCTGTTACGAGGACTATCTGACGACCCGCTTTGCTATAGCTACTAAATCTCGCGAGGTTACTGTAGGCAAGTGTTGCCAGCGTGTCGTCCTGGAACCCAACATGCCGATGGTACGTTCCGTGGTAATCTGACGAAATCCGTTTTGTGCAGGTGTTGCGGGGACTCTGGGCCATTGAAAGAAGGGGAGAAGGACAGAAAATAAATACAATCGTGGAACCTAATAACTTAAGGCCTGGCTTCAAGAGCTCAGAGGTCAAAGTCAAACTCGGGTATAATATACATGATAGCGTTGGGTGGTTTAGAGAAACCCGGATTATTATGAGAAGGAGTATCAATAGCACAACCCAGTGCGGATTAACTCAACATTCCAACAGTGGCGTCCATGTGCCTCATGACTCGGCAATGGAAACGGAACGCACGCCTCCCGAGCTTGGAACGCCTGCTTCGTCTCGGCACGCGGAAGTATTCTGCGGTAAGTACTCAGGTGGACATGAGTCTTCTTCCATGGCTTCCGAGAACAAACTCGAAGCGGTGGAGAGAGAAGGGGTGGGCGAGTCGAGGTCGCTACTTTGCGAAAAAGGAGGATTGTGGGTAGTCGTGATAAGGCGAGGAAGGTGGCACCTAGGGGAGCCAGGATCGGTACATGAGGGCGAAGCGATGCGAGTTGTAATGTTTTCTCCGGGTATCGGAACAGTACATTCGTCCGGTTTATGGGTGGATTCAAGCATGGCTAAGGACGTGAATGCATGCTCTTTTTCTTTGCCTCTTTGTGCATCCTCGGAATAATCGTCGATGAATTTCAGCCAGCTGTAGGTCGGCTGCCGACGAAGTTGTAGGAGCGAACTTTCGTTAAGGGTCTGCGAGCCAAAGAGATTAGGATATGTAACTGCTACAAATCGATATAGAGGCGGACCTGTAGTCTTGGGACCCAGTGTGTGAAGAGACGTGGTCGATTCATATCTGAAGTGGCAACGCAAGTATCAGGATTCCAGTAGCCGGGAAGAAGGCAGTCCATCGACATCATCGAGCTGGGTGAGATATAGGGAGTTGAAAGGAAGATAGTGGACCTAAACCAAGGCTACCTTCAATTTTATTATCAGCATTGAGCATCGCACGGTATAAGCCACAACAGCCGAATGAAAGGGAATGTGGATGCGCTGAGTCACAAAAACGGAAGACAAAGAATAGAGCTTTGCCCCATTTACTGCTGTGACCAGCAACGGCGATGGTGGTTCACGGGTTCATGACTGTTGTGCGTAGGAATACGAATACGATGGCTTATCGTCGTCCAGGACGATGAGAGTCTGGGAAGTGGTTGTGGTTGTGGTTGCCAAGTGTGGCAACCGAATGATCCCCCTTTTTGCTGGGATTCGGAGGGGACGACAAACCACAACGAAGCAGTGCGGTTCAGTCCCCCATGAGCTGGTCTGAAGTACTGTTGTGATCACTCTAATTGTCCGTATCCGCAGCCGGGGCGGCATCATGATGCGGCACTGCGGCTGGAGCACTGCTGGGGCTGGAGTCTGTCACGGTGGCGCTGTGGCGTTGTCTATTGGTCCGAGCGGGCCGGTTCAGGCCCGAAACTACTATCATGACGTCCACTCAGGTCGCTGCAACTGCGGAAACTACGCATGTCAATTTGTCGATGCAGCTTCAACAATGGACAGAAACCTCGTTGAAAAACCTGTACAACCTCGACCAGGACCCACTGACCCAAACGCTGTTTACGGCTGATGCGCAGATTACCGTCAACGGAGACAAGCTGTCGCCAGAGAAATACGACGAGCAAATCAAGGGACTGCGTGCAACAGCTACACGGGTTGATATGGTTTGGGGAGATGTTGTCGCTCTCCCGGAGGATGTATCGGTTCGCCATAGATTGCTGTCCGTCACGGCAGTTAATCTGACGCGCCTGGAACAGTGCTCCATATCATTCAAAGGATCTTACACCGTTACCCGCTCTCTAAAGTTCCGATTGCGCGCTGGCCCCATGCAGACAATAACCCACGTCGTACTGGAGGCACGGTACACACGCCACTCCGATTTATTTGCTCTCCTTTATTGATGCGATGCGCTGATAGGGTCGTCGAGATTGATTCGGAACCTAAGATCACATCGCTACTACAGACAGAAACAGTTGACCGCCCACCGGTGCATCTAGCTCCGGTGCCAGTGGATTCCGTTAGCTCCCAGGGAGACGCGTCAGTGGTGGATACCAGTCAAGGTTCATAAAGGCGGTTCGTAAGGGCCAAGGTTACTCCGCGTGGCGCATGATCAATAATGATTATTTGATCCCGCGGTTCTGCGGTGTTTTCGTACACTGAGACTCTACCGCAATGGTACCACGAAACCCCGAGAGAGAGACGTACGGTATTCCCGACAATCATCCTGCTAATTTGAGCTTACTGTATCGAGAGCATGACATGCCATCCGTTTCGCATCACGGACCCCTATTTCTGCTCCAACCAATGATGAGTCATGTCGTGCTTCCCAGCTGAGATATCCCTGCGACTTGCTAGTTGGCTCTCTGGTCTGTGGCCTTCTTAACCTCTAGTGACCTCCTTAATTGTGCACTATCACCGGCTCTCTGAGTCTATCCTCGCCGCTGCGCCCTGAGTAGCCTCGTGATGCCTCTTGCCCCACTGGCGTGTGAAGCGCACCTGGAATGCCGTCCTAGCTAATTGGGTGAGCCTCGGTGCCGTCCTGCTGGCACCATATTGCCCTCAATCACAGTGCGAGAATGGCCTCATGGACGTGGTCAGCGATCCCAGACCTTGTCCTAGGAACTCAAAAAAGTCCACCTCGTTACTCTCCCGCTCGTGCCTGTACTCGCATGTGCCCTGCTCGATTTTAGCCATGGCACACTGTGACACCTCTTCAAGGAGCAGATCACTGAGATAGTCACAGATGATGAACTCTGATATTTTACGCAATCTAAGGGACCTTCGTCCTCGTCACATTGCCTAGTAACCACCGATATAACTAAATCTGTTGAGCACTGTGACTAATTGAAGTTAAATCCTCTATGGATGATTTTAGCTGAAACGACGCTATAATCATCCAACCTCTATATTTCATCCTATGATACAACGTGTTTACAGTGCTTGCCGTGTGTGACAGTGGACATGCCCATCGCTTGTTTGCGTCGATGTACTATAGATCAACGCTTCTATCACCGGATCCTCCGGTGAGACAACTAGGTACTCTAACGCCCAATTTGACTGATTTTGCGACACCATCAAGATCCCTGTGATCTGAGGGCGTGAATACTTCAGGAGTAAGTTACCTCACGTTGTACCTCACCCTTTTTTTCGTTGGGGATGTAGTCGTTCTGTACCCCGATCATTTCAATGCACCTTGAGCAAATAAAAAGGTTGTACTGGCATTAATTAACAAGTAACAAAAGTGCGATTTCGAAAACAAAAATACTTTGGACATATCCGGAATTGAACCGGACACCTCTCGCAAATGGATTTGCTAAGCGAGCGTGATAAACCAACTACACCATATGCCCTTGTATTGTTTTATTTATGAAAATATATGTGGATTTGCTAGCCATCCGAAGAAGCGAATTTGTTGAATATTGTACAAGCGAATAATCTACAGAATAATGATAAATAATATATATTTAAGCATTTCTCGTCATACCGTGCACATGCCATCTGCGTCCCAGTATTCACTGCGGACGCCCGTAGGAACGATGAACAGATCGTTCGGGTCGTAAATAGCTTTGATGTTCTTCAAGCGGGCGTAGTTCGAACCGTAAAACGTGACCTGGGGATTCGGTTCGAGTACATCGCCCTCATTTGAGTAGCTGCCGCTCGAAGGGCCCCCAGCAAGGTCCGCAAGCACAGGCCTCGCTATTGAGGTAAAATTCCTGCGTAATGCCAAGACATCAGGCGCAGACAAGGAGTCGTCCCAACCTTGAGTCGCGATGATCTGACGAATAGTGTCGGAAATAGTCTTCGTTTATCAGAATGGCGAGGGCACCTACATGAGTCTTTGCTATCCGCCATGCGGGGAGAATCGCAGAATCGATATTCGCGTTGGCAGAGACTTGGCCTATACCAATGGTCAACCCGGCTGTTGGTTTTAATAGGTATGGAGCTACGTACCGCCGCCGGCGAGGTGCCCAAGAATCGACTGGATACCTTGTGAGAGCAACCGCTTGTACGCGGCACCCACGCTCGACGGAGCATGGAGGTAAACAGAGTTGGGAATGAGGCGAGAGCTGAGGACGACGTTATACCCAGACTTGTCGTCTGGGAATCCAACAATATCGTTGGGAGCCCCCGTGAGAGTGGACTCTCCTTGAACGATGGCTCCCAGCGCAGTTGCGTTGGAGAGGAAAGCAGACATCTGGGCTCTGCTGGCATTGCCATCGAGGCCCTTGAAGAGCGTGGATAGGACAAGCGTGCTGTTCGTAGCCGATCCTCTTAGATAGAAGTACTGCCCGGCCCTAACGTTATCCCAGTCTTTGATATGTGAGGCATGTAAAGTCATCAGATCGCTCGTTTGGTCCACCGTAGCCGTCAGGACATTCACGGTGTGCAGGGTTACGTTGAAAATCGGGAAGGTGCGGATGGTGGCATCGATGATCACGCCCCAGCTACCGGCACCACCTCCACGCAAAGCCCAGAATACTAGGGGAGGAAGTCGGCGTTAGTTGAAGTTTGCCCCCAGGCGCCAGGCACTGAACGTACGATCGGGGAAAGAGGCTGAATTGACTACAACGTAAGAGCCGTTGGCCAGAACAACACTGTATTCTGATTTTTGTTTCGAGACTTATCTTAAAGCAAAAGGAACGGAAGCACGCACGAAAGACATTGTCTGCGGCGAGACCATAAATGGGTGAGAACGCTGAATGCCCAGCACCCTGGATGTAGCCTCCTGCAGGAGAGACGGTCGCCGCAGTGCCGCCCACGAACATCTTGTTTTGTGCCTTAGCTGCGGCGTATAACCCCTTGAGGCCGACGCCTGCGCCAACTGTAACCGCCGAACCTTGATCAACACCACAGACAGGGAAGTGGTCGGTAAATGTGATGTTTTGAAGGTAAGCCGTCCATAGAAGTAGCGAATTTTTTGCGGTAGAACGGCCTAAATAATCGTGACCAGAGGATTTGATGACAACACGCAGGTCATGGGCCTGGGAAAATAGAACGCCTGCCTATAGCACAAGAAGGTAAGCGGTGCAACTAGCAGGCAGGAAGTCCTTTTAACCTGTATGTGCTGAGCAGTCGTCGCGTTAACTGCGTAAAGCGGGACGTCACCCTGTGCACAGGTGGTACCGTTTAATAGGCAGAGTTCTGCGGGAGGAATGTAATCCTGTGATTACGGTCGCATTTAGCGAGTACAAGAGATCAAACGAGAAGCGCATTACCTGTTCCCAGTTGTACTAAGAATGAATTGAACTTATTCAGCGGTGATAACTAGGGTCAAGTTGAAACACGGTGTACTCACGGCATTCATCGCGCCCGGAATCGTTTGTCGGAAAATGCCGCTCGCCCACTGTGCCCCAGTGCAGCCTAGCTCTCGACACGCTTCCACAGACGGCACGACTCTGACTAGCCTGCCACCGATTGTATCGTTGAGAGTAGCCCAATCTGAGTCAGTTGGATACCCAGGATCTCCTGGCTGATTGCGACACCGAGCATGAACGACTTGAACAGGTCGGGTCAATGACAGCGCCAACGCAATGGCGGTCACAGAAAGAAAAATAGAGAACATTTTCGACGAAACGCAGGAAGAGAAGACAAGTGGTATGAGATACTGCAATTGCACCTTAAGTAGCTTCAGCGCTTTCATGTTGACATGCGGAGGGAGGGAGGTAGAGACGACCCACTTCCCGGAGCCGGAGAAGCTTTGAAGTAGACGACAGTGAAATGACCGTGACAGTGAGGCTGACGTACAGTAGGGCGGATTGTGCTCGACCGGGAGGATGAAGGAAAACCGGGATTCTGGACTCCTGATCAACGGTGACGTGCCTTAGCTTGAAATCGCGACGTGGCCGCCACTGAGACATGTCGGTGTGAACCACATCCGTGCGCGTAGCCTATCCTGCAAGAGTTACTTGTAAAGTGGCTCTAGTAGAAAGCGCAGTCCACGAGTCTAAGTGTACCGGACTGCAGGGTGAAACCGCCCCATTGAATTTGAGGCAGCTAGACGTGCGCAGTCCCCGGTTTCGTGAAGTGCAGGAGCCTGAGACGAGTCATGGCCAGTGCCAGTGATGGTGCCATGGTGGTACAAGTTGCCGGAAACGGACACGTGACTTATAATTTCCGTGGTTTCGGGATATGTGGCTGTGCAATCCTACTCGGAGATTCCTTTGTACTGTACTGTACTTGTCTTTTCTTTTCCTTTTTTCTTTTCAGCACTGGGGTATCCGTGTCACGATTTTTTCTTGCATCAAAGAACTTTTATGAATGTCCTACTGTACCTTATCGTCTCTGATTTTTCATTAGGCGAGAACAATATTCACCGCGACGCAAGTTGAGCGTCGATCGTATCTGCCTCCGGCGGTGGTTTCCCCGGGTCCATTAGTGTGAGATCCGTGCGCGATATTGATCTCCTTGCGCTTGGAACCCTTTCTGGTTATAATTACCGGAATCGTGGGTTTTCAATGAGGTCTCTGACCGATGAACCCCAGTTTGGCGATGCCGTGCCTTTCGTCAGACCTGCGGAGAGCGACAAGCCATCTCCTTTCATCAACACGGATGGTCCATACACGTGCTGTACCATTTTTAATTGTGGAAAACGCGGCGCAGTATGACCAACGCATTTGAGTCGGAAATTTCATTCCTCTCCTGTGGTCTCCAAAGCAGTCTCGACCGGCTAGATTCGTTAGTCCAACCCTGGATTCGAAGTGTATGTTGAGAAATAGACTCCGCCGGAGTGGAAGAAGCACGACTTGTCCAGCAGGGGTCCATGCTGCACTTGCACACCCGTTTTTGATGGCAGACTCAGAAGATCGACTTCCTTTCAAGAATCGTTCGAATTGGTACACCTTTTCTCACAGGCTGCCCGGCACATGGTTTCTCTCTGGGGCCGGGGCTCGCTTCGGGGCTCGTGTAATTCACGTAGCTTTGGGCACGCCGTTGTAATCGCCGTGAAGACGCGTATTGTACCGTACTTAGTGAGCATGATCTAAGGAACGGAAAAGCCAACGACTGCAGTCTAGTGGAGTGGATACCGTTCGCGTTCAATCGAATGACAGTGAATGACCAATAGATGTAACGACCGGGAAATAATGCCTTTTAAGTGGCCCGTCGAAGACTAGGACACGGGAATTGTGAAGCGAAGATAGAATCAGACCGACGCAGTACTTTATAAATGAGGTTATGAGAAGTGGTGGCTTGATGGCTTGCGGCGTTAAGGCTAATGCCCCAACAACAGGAAGGAAGTGGCTATAAGTACAGTACCATGCGCGCAGAGTAGAATTGACAGGCAGGTACGCCATGATTCGCTCCACTGAGATGATAACGTAGCCAGAGGTCCATTCACCTTACTCATGCGGTAAGTGTAGAGAAAGCGCGATTTCTTTTTGTTAGCCTGGAAGGACTATGCAGCGCCCGCAATATGTCATGTCGTACAGGTTGACCACAGAAGTGAGCGTGAGTTGGTGTATATATCAGTCGTATCATAATTTCTGATAGAAATGGAGGAATATGATCGGTACTCCGCCAAAGGGTAGCACTCAGGCTCAGAGACGGAATCGTACATCATGACAACGTGGCCGTCTTGGCCCATAGACCGAATGCCACGTTCGTCAGTTTCGCACTTTCCAAGCGTCTAGATGTTTACAAAACATTCTAAAGTTACTGGTGCTCGAAGGGCCAGGGACACCACGCTTCTCCAGCCCGTGATTCCTGTGGCGTGTACAGACCCAATTTGTGCATGCCCTGGCGGTAAGGCTGGGAGTAGAGCGAGCTGACTGAGGACGATGCCCGAGAAATCCCGAGAAATCACGGGTGGACTCGTGTAATACGTAATCAGTGGATGAAACATGCCACGGCAGAAAATATCGCGAGTTCCTCTGCTGGAGTTAGGCAAAAGTGCCTCGAGGCCTAGCACGCGTAATGGCACCGTGACTGGTACTGTTTACAGGAGATGGGTGTAATCCTGGTTCCCAAGGAACTATCGGAGTGGAGAGGTGGAGCTTGTGGAGCATGAAGGGGTGACGCACCGGTAGGGGTGGAACATTAGCCCCCACTCGGGTACATACCTCGAGGCGCACAATAATGGATTCCCAATTAGCCCCCCACGGAAGTAGAACAAGTTCTGTGGGCTAGGCATAGGAGAGGTCGCAATAGGTCAGTTATCGAGTCCATGAAGTCCCAACACTTCTTTGGAGAGCGCGGGCAGGAACGGTGCTTACTGTAGCCTAAGGCTTGAGACGCTCCAGACTAGGCACAAGCTCGTAGAGTTGCGGACCATAGCAGATCAAGTGACCAAACCAGAAGAGGAACGATACGTCTCGGAAGGTTGATGAAGAATGTATCACCACGAACGGAGATT